CTCCGACAATCACCCGAAGGCCTTCCGAACGTTCCCGACGTCTCGAAAATAACGAAATTAATGAAAAAAAAAATTTAACAAGAGCCACAGTAGGTAGTTCCCGGGAGATTTGGTGCTCTAACCGGGAGACCGGGAGACTTGATGAAAAACTTGGAGACTCCCGGGAAAACCGGGAGAGTTGGCAGGTCTGATCAAAACCATCAATAATTATTAGTCTCGGACATTTTGCGCTTTGTACAACTAACGTTTTTCATCACGACATTGGATTGGCCAATATCAAATCACGTGGTAAATATGGGACGCACACTGGTTACCTCGGGTAGTCGAGTTTTCAGGTCACAAACCAAGGTGATATGCTTCTGCACAAACTTAATGCAAATTGGAAGAATACAATTGTTGAAACCACTATTACATGTACGATATTGCAGCTGAAGTTCAAAATGTTCAGTTTGTTTCCTTTTTTTCTCCACAGGCAGGTGTTGAATCGAAGATAGATTTAAGGCTGCAATCGGCCACCGCCACTTTAGGTAAGAGATATTAATTGAGAATAACTAGTTGCTCCCACTAAAGAGTAACTTGCAAACTATTGCCTTGCTCTATAAATCCTGGTAATGGCAGTCACACAATGAACAGTGGATAAACAAACAATAAACCCTATTTAGCGCGAAAAGATGCTCGGATATTTCTCCTTGGAAATTATCCGTTGCTCAAAGCTCGCAGTTTTCCTCGAGCTGTCCTCTCGGAGAACTGTTCGCTTCTCGGAACAGATAATGTCCGCGGACAAATATCCGAGCATATTTTCGCGCCAAATGGACGCTATTGTGTCTATTTTCCTTCAAATATTTTTCGCATATGCAGTCATGTGACGCCAGAAATAAGAGCTAACTGTAAGCGATGACTTTTTATTAAATCAGGTTTTCACACTCCTTAGATGAGGTTGGTAATTTAAAAATTTCCGAACATTAAATGACCTTGACCAGTTTCTCTAGCATGAAGCGATTAGGGATATTATTTCTCCCCCTTGATGATATACGGTATATTGTGGGTTATCCCCCATCATCAAACATCCCCCACCCTAACCCGGCATTTAATTGTCTTAGCAATTTGCCGGACCGTGAGAATACAGTATCACGTCTAAGAACCCAACAAGCGGTAACTCGCTTATAACCCTCGTGTTCTCGGATCGCGTATTGGTTGTCAATAAAAGTCTTGCTTCTTTATCTTATTTTAGCAAACTTTAAGTCCGTATCAACATTTATGTTGTATTTCAGATGAACTGTTGTCTGCAGGAGAAGCTGAGAGCTATGACATGGTTTTTATTGATGCTGATAAGAAATCCTATGACGATTACTACGAGAAATCGTTGCAACTTGTTCGTAAAGGCGGGCTTATAGTAGTTGACAATGTAAGTGATGAAACAAGCTGTTGGTTATCACCAACAGAACTGGAATTGCTTAATTATTTTGCTTGTCAAGCTAACTCGTTTCGGTAGACCCTTTACAGGTACACTATCGGTGCTTCTGCACTTCACAATACCCCCGTTTAGGTCGACACTTGGTCGGTGAGCAAGCTGACATACAAGCGACACTTTACTGACACATTACCGACACGAGAGCCAACACTTCACACCGACACAGTACCGATACGTTGACCGACACTTCACCTACACGCTATACCGACACTTCACCCACACACTAACGATATGTCGACCGACACTTCACCGATACACTAACGATACGTCGACCGACACTTCACCGACATACTAACGAAACGTCGACCGACACTTCACCGATACACTAAAGATACGTCGACCGACACTTCACCGATACACTAATTAACGATACGTCGACC